GGGGCTGGGGGGCCAGGCGGGCGAGGGGGGGTGGGCAGGAGGCCCACACCAGGTGGTGGCTTGGGCAGGGGGTTGATGCCCTGTTTCTTCAGCTCCTCAACTTCCTTCTCATCCTCCGCGCCTGCCTCTGCGTCGTCAGCCAGCATCTGCGGGGACAGAGGGGACGAGCGGAGTGAGCCTCGGACAGTACGAGGGGCCCTGCTCGTGTAGAAAGGACTCAGTGCCACAGGCTTCCTTAGAAAGGAAGATCCGAACCGTACTCACTGCACTGCCCCAGGGGACGGGAGAACGGGGTAGGGCAGGCCCCACTGTGGGAGCAGCCCCAGGGTGGGCGGGGCTCTCGCCAGGCACAAGTGGCCAGGTTAGAGCAGGCAGTGTCAGGCACCTCAGGGCTTCTCTCCCTGCCACCAGGAGCAGTAGTTACTGGAGGGTCAGAGAAGGTGTGCTCTGGGTGGAAAAGGAAAAGCAGAGATAAAGCATGTACACCGTGGGGAGACGTGCTGAGGGGAAACCTGCGTCTTAACGTGTGCCCGTGACGGGCTGGGAAGCAGACGCTGCCAGGCCCTGCTGCTCTCTGCCCTGACCTTGGCCTCTGTCCTCCGGGCAAGCTGGCCGTGTAGGCTCCTCCTCTCCGGGTCCCCCCTCCCCCGAGGTCTGCTCACTGCCCGACCCCTTACTGCGCCAATCCCTGGCCACAGTTGGTCAGCGAGTCCAGAACTAAAGCCACCGTCAAAGTCCCGATGCCGCTAACATGCACTCAGCCCTGTCAACAGCTGGCCTTCCGTCCAGCCACCCTCAGCCCTCTCTCCTCTTAGCCCCACACCCGACACTGGCCTGGAGCTGCCGTCCGCCTGTTGCCCCCACTCCGGCCCCGCCCCGCCCCAAGCAGCTTCCTGTCCGTTTCTCCCGCGCCCTGGCCTCACTCGCCCATTCTCCCCACACCTCTCTCTGCGTCCCTAGCAGGGCACAGCAGCCTTCCTGGCACAGAGGTGCCCCGATGGGTGCATCCCTCTGACGGCTCCCTGCAGCCATCAGGAGGAAGGTGAAGGTAGCAGGGACATGGCTCCCAAAACACAAAAAGCTTGACCACAGCCTTCTCCCACCTTCACCCCCCACCGCCCCAGCTCTCGGCTCGCAGCTCCCACCCAGCACACCCTGTTTCCCAGCCCCAGCCCACTCCTGCCAGCCATCCAGGGGCCCTGCCCCCTACCCATTCGGAGCTGCAGAACATGCCACACTTGTCTTGATACTTGGCAAAGCATGCGGCCAGCGTGGCCAGTGTCCCTCTTCTCTGGGGACGGAGAAAGAATGTGCCGGTCTTCACGTAGCCGCCTTTACAGAAACAGCACCCAGGAAAAAGCCCGTGGCCACCAAGTCAACTCCAACTCACAGACACCCCACCGGACGGGACAGAACTGCCCCATAAGGCTTTCAAGGCTGCAACCTTTACAGAAGCAGACTGCCGCCCGTTTCTCCTCAGAGCCTGGTGGGTTCGAACCACAGACCTGCGGGGAAGCAGCAGGGTGCGTAACCGCTGCTCCACACGGCTCCTTGGAGCACACAGAGGGCGCGTCGTAAGGCTGTGACTGACTGGAAGGACTGAAGCTCTGACTCTCAGAACACCCTTCATGAGGCATCATCAAGGCTGTCCTCGCCTGGCCTGGAAGTGCCCGGCACCTAAGCTTGCCAGCCTCAGCCTGGTCTGGGCTCCCAGCTCCCTTCCCAGAGTGGGAAGCTCACAGCTGCCCCGTGTGCCGGCGAGGACCTGACGATGTCCTGATGGGGGTCCGTCTCTGAACACGCCTCATCTCCCGCTCTCTTCTCTTCACACATCTGCCGTCTCCAGCGCTGGGCCGCTAGTGTCCCTCGCAAGCAGGGAGGGAAACTCGTTCATCTCTGCGGATGCCGAGCCCAGGCCACATTTGTTGAAAATACATGAAAGAGACTGACGCAAGGCCAGGCTGACTGGTCAGACGGAGACGGGTAGAACCCCAAGACTATGGCCCTTAGATACCTTTCAAACTTTCAGCCAAACCACAGACAGGCCCATGAGGTGAACACTAACAGCAGCGAGGGACACTCCTTAGAACGATCAACCACCGAGAACTAAGGGCAGCGTTTGCCCAGGGACAGAGCTCAGAAGGCAGGAAGGGGTGGAAAAGGAGGAGGGACGGACATGGTAACTACAAGGAGGAAGTGGGAAGAGAGTTGTTACACTGCGGGGACTGCAGTCAACGCCAGAAAACAAGATGCGCGTGAACTGTTGGACGGTAAACCTACCGCTCTGTAAACTTCCACCCAAATCACAATGAAAAGTTTTTTATAAAAAAACCAACGTTCTCATCAGAAGGGGCACTCCTGTCCCTTCAGCTCCAATCCCTGGTCCTGACTCCCGTGAAGTTCCTGGGACTTGGGCTCACAGCAAGCAGGCAAAGTGGTTCAGCTTCCAGGCCTTTCCCATCAGGTGACAACAGCCAGGGTCTGGCTGGGTCTCAGCGTCTCCCTCTCAGGACTGGTCCTGAATGAACTGAGGGGCTTCCAAAAATCAGAGTCACCCTCCCAGAATTGCAAGAGTGGAGGGTCACAATGGCAGACATGTAAAGGCCTATGACCAAGCTCAGAAGAGCCACGGGCCAACAGGCCAGCACCCACTGGATACCTAAAGAAGCCTGAGCCATCCAGTTAAGAATTCTAAGTTTTTGCCCCAAACTGCCCTTCGACTGATGACTGGATGATCAAACATCCACACACCCACACAGCAGACCAGTCCTCACCAACAAGTAATGACGGTCAGCGTCGACAGAGCCACATAGCGGACAGTCCTCAGCAACTAGCAGTAACGGACCACTGTGTGTGCAGCAAGAGCAGATCTCAAACGCATCATGCTGAATAAAAGCAGCCACGGTCAAGCTACACACACACACACACACACACACACGGCTCCTTGTGTCCGTACGTTAAAGGCTTTCCACACTGTGCAAATCCATTGATAGGACACTCTTGAGAAGGCAAGTAAAGGTACAGTAGCTGCCAGAGGCTAGGGGCAGAGGAAGCACAGAAGGGTTCCTGGGGTGACAGGGTGAGCTGCTCTATCTTGATGGTGAGGGGGTCACATGACCGTGTGTGTTCGTCAAAACTCATGAACTGTACACGAAATAGGGAGACCTTTACCGGACACTTGTTAGACCTCAGTAAGCCTGACAGGAGTCCCTGGGTGGCAGAAATGACGTACCCGCATAGCTGCTACCTGGGACAGATGGGTTTTATGTAGTCTTTCTCACCGTGGTTTTGTGACTCTGACAAAATGATTACTGGGACTATGCAAAGAAGCCGCTTATAGCCAACCAAGGGGACTGGACAGCTTGCTAATTATGCAAATAAGCTGCACAGAACCTCTGTGGGGGTGGTGGGATCATGCAAACGAGGTGTATGTAACCTTAATGAGGGGACTGGTCAATTCTGTCATTGCTCTAGGCTTAAGAGAGCCAATTTCAGAGCAGAGAGGGGGCCCTACTACCATCAAGAAGAGCCAGGAATGGATTGTGTCCTTTGGACGCAGGGTCCTTGTGCTGAAAAACTCCTAAACCCAGGACACAGAAAGAGCCGGTATGAGATGGCGAGAAATGGCAGCAGTAGAGCCCAGCGTGAGGGCATGGTGGGCTTCCCAGCCCACAGAGCAAAGCTGTTATGGTGGGTTTGCCGGCCATGGGGCAAAGCTGTTACGGCGGGCTTGCTGGGCAATGGAGCAAGAAAGGTGAGAGCCTGGGGGCAGGTGTCCTGGCAGAGCTGGTGCCTCTGGGCACTTCCTGGCAGAGCTGAAGAGCTATTTAACACTTGCCTGAGCAGGGCAGAGATGAGGCCAGAAGGCCTACCTGCAGGCAATGCTGAGAGGAAGCCATCCTGATCAAAGGACTGTATCTCGAGCTGTTCCTCAATCTGAATTGTAATCTGTTCCTTTCCTAATAAACCTCCTAACTCAGCATTATCTGTGAGTTCTATGCGGCCACTGCAACTAACTATCGAAGCCAACAGAGAAGTGGTACCACGGGAGGGATGGCTGGTGTCAGAACTGGTAACAAGGTTGGAGGGTGGTAGCATGTTGAGCTCCGCCTCACGGCAGCACCCCAAAGCTGATGCTGATCTTGATCCTCCTCCGCCATGAAGTTAGGGGGCCCCTGGACACCCCCGTGCCATTTCCACACCAACCCAAAGACTGGTGGTTTGAATCCACCACGGAAAAAAGGCCCAAGTGTCACCTTCGGAAAACTCAAGCAGCGCAAGCCCCACAGAGTACAGTTCTACTCTGACACACGGGATTGCCACGGCTCAGAATCAACGTGTGGCAGCTGGGAAAAAAGCTGAAACCTGACTACAGAAAAATGAAGTGTCACTGAAGTATTTAAGAGTAAAGGGCTCTGATGCATGCAACTCACTACCCTCAAATGGTTCAGGACAAAAATTCACATATGCATGTAAACTCGCACGTGTATAAAACGAGAAAGGGCTCAAGTACATGGGGAAAAATACAATCAACAGGTAACATGGATGAAAAGGAGTCCATCCTGTCCTTGCCGTTCACCCAGGTACGGCCACTGCCAACTCCAAAGACAGGCACATTTCCACACCTGGACTAGATGCTGGATGGACGTGGGCATTTCTCGACAGCAGAAATGTCACTGAGAACGGGGAAGGCTAAGTTCAATAAACAAACTCAGACGGTTTAGGATCAGACGGCTTAACAGCATAACCGTAACTGGGACCCAGCGGGACCAGGGCTGCCAAGGCCTGAGTCTCCAGCTCCAGTTGACCACGCTGAATCACTTTCTAGGCCGGAAGCAAACAGCGGACCTCATGATCTCACCAGGGTTAATTCAGATCCTTCCTTCTCTGTGGCAACTAACTGGCTGGCTTCCTAGAGGGTCATTTCAGTCCTGGTGGCACAGTGGTTAAAGTGGTTGGCTGCAAATTGAAAGGTCAGTGGTTCGAACCCACCAGCCACCCCACGGGAGACAGATGTGGCAGTTGGCTTCTGTACAGAGTCCCCTAAATCAAACTAAACCTACTGCCATCAAGTAGATTCTGACTCGGAAACCCTAGAGGACAGAGGAGTACTGCCCAGGGATCTGTAAGCCTGTAAATGTTTCTG